GTATAGGACCTGATGAGAACTTTGGGTTTGGTTCTAAAAGGAATCCGAAGCCACTGGAGAGTTCTGAGTCAGGGACAGAAAGACATGACCTGTATTTGTTACAAGAACTCTTGCTCTTGCAGGGAAAATATGGCGGGCAGGGCGGGGGTGGAAGTAAGGAGGTAGGAGGCTAGATAGGAGGCTACTGCAATGAGTTGGAGACTGACTAGGGTGACAATGAGAACTGATTGGATAGAGGATACTTTTTTGAAAGCAGAGCCATTATGATTTGCAGATGGATTGGCCATGGGATATAAAGACAGGGATCAAAGATGACTCCCAAATGTTTGGTCCCAGCAGCTGAGTAAGTAGGCAAATGGCAGTGCCATTTATCAAGATAGCAAACAGTGAGCCAGGCATGGTGGTGCATGCCTGCAATCTCAATGACTCTGGAAGCCGAGGCAGTAGGATTACAAGTTTGAGGCCAACCTCAGCTTAGCAAGACCTTATCTTGCTAAGGTCAACTTAGCAAGACCAACTTAGGCCACCTTAGCAAGACCCCATCTCAAAACATAAAGGGCTAGAGATGTAGCTCCAGTGATAGGGCACCCCTTGGTTCACTCCCTGGTATGGAAAAAAAATTAAATGATGGCAAAGAGTGGGCAGGAGCAGATTTGTAGGTGGGAGCACAGGAGTTCAGTATTTGGACTTGTAAGTTTCAGAGACCTAATGAATATCCAAATGGAAATGTTAGGTAGTCACTGTAGCATTCAGGAAAGCATTATTTTAAGGGTCAGCACCATAAAAATAGTATTTACAGTCCTGGGACTGAACAAGTTCAGTTAGGGAGTTGTTATAGATAAAGAAGAGGTTAAGTGTGAAAGATGAGGCAATAGGGAAGGACCCATATACACAAGAACGAATACACAGGGTCCTTCTCAATAGGAAGGACCCTGTGTATTTGTTCTTGAGATGCTCAAATCAAAAAATGACAGGCATTCTGGGGGCTGGGGCTATAGCTGAGTGGCAGAGTGCATCATGAGGTACTGGGTTCAATCCTCTCAGCACCACATAAAAATTTTTAAAAAAATGAAATAAAGGCATTCTGTCCTTCTACAACTACCAAAAAAAGATTTTTTTTTTTTAATGGGAGGCATTCTGGACATCCCTTTTGCATCGTCACAATTCAGTTCAGTCCATCCATCTCCAAGTCCTGCCAATTCTACCTCCAAATTACGCCTGGATCCAGCAGAGTGGCACATGCCTGTAATCCCAGCAACTCGGGAGGCAAGAGGATCACAAGTTTAAGGTCAGCCTGAGCAACTAATGAGATCCTGTTTCTAAATAAAAAGGATTGGGGATGTAGCTCAGTAGTTAAGCACCACTGGGTTCAATCCCCAGTGCCAAAAAAATGAAAGCCAAAAAACACCATCTTTACCTTCACCATCTAGGCCAAGACCACCATCATCTCTTATCATGTCTTTTTCCCAGCTGAGCTCCCTCCATCCATTCCGCTGGCTCTAGTCTGCTTTCCTCACAACAAACAGCCAGAGTGGTTTTTTAAAAATGAAAATCTTGGACTGGGGAGTTAGCTCTTTGGTAAAGCACTTGTCTACCATGAGCAAGGCCCTGGGTTGGATTCTCAGCACCGCAAAAAAAGAAAGAAAATCTTATCATGTACTACTTAAGATTCTTTAATAACTTCCAAAGTCACTTAATAATTGTTTCTTCACAGTGCTGGGGATCAAACCCAAGGCCTTATACATGTTAGGCAAGTGGTCTATCACTAAGCCACACCCCAACCCCAACACACTAAATATTTATAAAAAAAAAAAAAAATCTTATGATTTACCAGACCCTGTATGCTCCTCCCCTTACTAACCTCACTTACTGTGACCTTCCCCAATACCTTACACTTTAGCCCTCATTAGCAGTGGCAATGTCCTAGTTCCTCAAACAGACCATAGAAGAATTTAGCACAAAGCCTGATAAACAGCAGGCGTTCAATAAATGCAAGCTCTTGTTATTATCACTTAGTTCTTCTCTACCTCTAAGTCTTCACAGATGCTGGTCCTTGTTTCAGGTATTCTTCTCTTTACTCTTCTAACTTTCTAACTAACTTCTTCTCCTTCTTTAAGTCTTTGTTTGTTTTTATTGCTATGTAACAAATGATCACAAATATAGGGCCTTAAAACAATGTAAAGTTAGGAGTGGGAATGTAGCTCAGTGATAGAATGCTAGCATATGTGAGGCCCAGGGTTTGATCTCCAGCACTGCAAGAAAAAAAAAAAAAAAGAAAGGACAAAAGAAAAAAAAAGCATAAATGTATTATTTTACAGTTTCTAAGGGTCAGGAGTCTGGCACATTTTAGCTGGCTCCTCTACGCGGAGTTCCTTTGAATGGCTCACCTGATTAGGTCAGGCCCACACAGAATATTCTCCCCCTTTTTTTGGAAGGGGGGTACCCATGATTGAACTTAGGGGTACTTGATCACTGAGCCACATCTCTAGCCTTTTTTTTTTTTTTTTTGTATTTTATTTAGAGACAGGGTCTCACTGAGTTGCTTAGTGCCTCACTTTTCCTGAGGCTGGCTTTGAACTCTCAATCATACTGTCTCAGCCTCCTGGACCACTGGGATTATAGGTGTGAGCCACTGAACCTGGCCCTTTTTTAAAATATATATATATTTATATCAGTAGATTTTATATATATATATATATATATATATATATATATATATATATATACTATTGATGGATCTTTACTTTATCTATTTATATGTGGTGCTGAGGATCGAACCCAGTGCCTCACACATGCTAAACAAGCACTCTACCACTGAGCTACAACTCCAGCCCCAATATTGTCCCTTTTGATTAACTCAAAGTCAGTTGTTTAAAGACCTTAGTTACATCTGCAAAAGCCCGTCTCTTTTGTATATAACATACTCATTGGAGTGAAATCCATTATATATGTAGTCCCACCCACATTCAAGATGAAGGTGTAATAACAGAAGGCGTGTATACCAGAGACTGGGAAATTCAGAGACCATTTTAGGATTCTGCCTACCACAAGGTCTCAGCCTAAAAGTTACTTCCTTAAAGAAACCTTTCCTGAATACAAGTGTAAAATAGGTTCTATGGGCTAGGTCTGTAGTTCAGTGGTAAAATACTTGCCTCAAATGTGTGAGGCCCTAAGTTTGACTCCCCAGCCCTGTAAAAATAAATATAAAAGTAAAGTAAAATATCTGAGTGTGTGACACATCCTGTGATTTTATAATCCTAGTAACTTGGGGGAGTGAGGCAGGAAGATCCCAAGTTTGAGCCTAGCTTTGGCAACTTAGTGAGACCCTATCTCAAATAAAAATAAAAAGGGCTAGGAGTATAGCTCAGTGGTAGAGTATACAATGTTTTAATGCTCAGTGTGAGAAAGAAAAATAAAAAGTTCCTTGAACATAGATAGTCAGTAAATGTACAGTGATTCCTACAGGCCAAAGCCCCTCCCCCGACTGCTAAAATGAAATACCTACTTGGTTGGGAATGGTGGGGTGAGAGGAATAGCCCAAAAGGGAGCCCAGGGAGAGAAAGCTAACATGTGAGGTTCTCAGGTGACCCTACAAATGAAAGTCTCACATAGAAGCCAACCTGGAAAGGATCATTTGCTAAACAGAGCTGTCTTCCTCATCTCGCTCTCTCACCGGCTGTGGAATTCCTGGGGCAGGTGGAGGCAGGTTTTTCAAACCTTAGGAACCCCTCTGACAGAGAAGGTATGCGCTCTGAATCCTGCAACCCAGTGCCCAGGGCCCCATATTCTTGCCTTCTGCCTTTGCTTTTCCAGGATACAGATCGTCATGAAAGAGAGTCATTGGGAAGAGGGCAGAACCACAGGGAAGGCTGAAAAACCCAGCCAACATTACTGCACATCTCCCTGGCCCATTATAATGACTTAGTTTCTGCCATGGGATTTACTGTGTGAGTCTCTGTATCACCCTCTCTCAGTTTTCTTTTACAAAGGGACCCCACGACCTTTCAGCTCACAGTAAACATTCATCAGATCTTCCTCTTTGTAGCTAGTACCTACCCCACCAAAAAAAGAAAGAAATGGAGCTGACCTGGGGAGGGTTGTGGCTCAAACAGTCTGGCAGCCCTGCCAGCTGAGCTGAAGTCACCCTGGAGCTGAGATGCTTGTGGGATGCCAGAGCTGGAAGAGACTTCCACGTTCATCCTGTCCACACTCTCCCATTTTACCCATGGAAAAACTGAGAGCCCAAAGAGGAAGAGGACTGGCCCTAAGTCACACAGCTTATGAAGAGGCAGCTAGACCCACCCCCCAAGTAGTCTCTTTGCTATTCCATTTGTTTTTCTCTCTGAGCATAAGAATCCAAAGTTACACAGGAACAAAAATAAAGCAAGCTCCTCCTGAGCCTCTGGTTCTTCATCTCCTTTTTTTTTTTTTTTTTTAGTTGTAGATGGACATAATACCTTTATTTTTATTTATTTATTTTTATGCATTGCTGAGGATGGAACCCAGTCAAGGCAAGCACTCACCCCTGAACCACAAGCCCAGCCCGATTCTTCATCTCTTAATGCATTTTTTTTTTGTTGTTGTTACTACAGATTGAACTCAAGGGCACTTAACCACTGAGCCCCAGCCCAAGCCCTTTTTTATTTTTTATTAGAGAGAGGGTTTCGCTGAGTTGCTTAGGGCCTCGCTAAGTTGCTGAGCCTGAGTTTGAATTCACAATCCTCCTGTCTCAGCCTCTCAAATTGCTGGGATTCCAGGTGAGCACCACCGTGCTCGGCTTCTTCATCTCTTAAATGGGAATAATTTTACTTCCTTGACAACTCACCCACTGTTCATGAAGCTTGAGTGAGTCAATAGAGGAGAAATGACAGCGGTAGCAGAACTGTCTACCCAGTGACAAGAAGACTCCAGAGTAGAGGCGACCACGAGGGATCTGACAGTGTGGCAGGACAGATGGGCTCAAAAGATGTGTGTTCACTTTGTGGTCCTCCCCAGGTGGGGCCTTCGCCTGGGTTACCATGGATACCATGTCCCTGGAGCATCAGATTCAGAGCGTGCAGCGACACATCAGCTTCCTGAAAAAGGAGCAGATGGCACTACTTCGAGACCTGCACCTGGAAATTCTGAGGCTGCAGAAACGCTGCTCAGGTGAGGCCAGGAGGGCCGGCTGGCTGGCTGGGTGAGGAAGGGTCAGTGTTATCATCATTACTTTTGTCTTTGATTGGGTGGCCACCATGAGCCCCTGTGAGTCTCACATTAATCCTGTCACTTCCTTTTCTGGATGAGGAAACTGAGACTTGGGAAGGTGGAGTAAGAGCTTTGGGGTTGAGGGCTCTGGTGAGGTTGTAGATGGGGGAACATGGAAACAAGTTCCTACAGATTCCTGTCTTTTTTTGAGTCATTGTTCACTAAGCACCTCAAGCCCTGAAGAAACCATGAGTCTAACTGGGGAGACACATACCAACGGTGATATTAAGATGTAGAAGGGGGCTGTGGTTGTGGCTCATGCTAGAGCACTTGCCTAGAATGTAGAAGGCACTGGATTCGATCCTCAGCACCATATAAAATTAAATAAAAGTATAGTGTCCAAGAACAACTAAAAAAATTTTAAAAGAAAAAAAGATATAGAAGAAGTCTGGGAATATGGCTCAGTGGTAGAGGACATGTTTAGTATGCACAAGGCCTTGTGTTCAATCCCCAGAACTGAAAAAAAAAAAAATATATATATATATATGCATATGTGAAGGTGGGAAGGTTGTTCACAGATAAGGTCATAGTCAACCTGGAGCAAGTGATAAAGGAGGAGACCAAGGCCCCCGTAGAGGAGGAAGCACTTCAACTCCTTGAAAGCTGACTAATAAATAGACATGGTAAGATATTATAAAGAGGGCTGGGGATATAGCTCAGTTGGTAGAGTGCTTGCTGTGCAATCACAAGGCCCTGGGATGGATCCCCACCACCACACACACACACACACACACACACACACACACACACACACAAAGATATTATAAGGAAAAGAAAAAAAAAAAGCTTCCAAATGAAGGCAACAGCATAGCAAAGACCAAAAGGTAGGAATCAAATGCTCATGAAAAGTTCTGTTTGACAAAACAAAATTGAGCTGAGAGGAGGCTGGTGAGAAATCCAGCTGGAGGTAGATTGTGGAAGACCTTGACAAATACCAGGATAGCTAAGGAATTTGGCCTGTTCTCTTAGGTAGTGGGGAGCCACTGAAGGTTTTTGAGCTCCATCAGCATTATGCTGCCTTAAGAAACTCAATCTGGCAGTTTCATGGAAGATGAATTGTGAGAGAGGGAGGTCAGGAGACTTATGGAAGAGCTGATGAGATGGTCCAGAAGAGAGAATGAAGAGGGATGGAAAAGGGAAGGCCAGTGAAAGGCAGGTTGAAGGAAAGGGCTTGGCACCTGATTGGATTTGTGAGTATGGTGGAGGGAGGCAAAGGACAGAACAAAATCCCAGGCTGGCTTCTACTCTTGAACCTGCAGCCTCAGCTGCCTGAGCCTCTCAGAGCCTTGCCTTTGGCCCAAATGCTCACACAGGTTTAGGCTCCCTGAGTACAGGCTTTGAACCATTGGCTACAGAATGTCTCAGCTGGGAGGACCCAATTTGTTTATTGCAGAAATGGGTAAACTGAGGTACAGAGAGAGACTCATACAATATGTTAAGGGCAGAACCAGGAAGCCTAGTCCTGTGTGCCTCTGCAGCTTTCTGGACATTCTCTACCTCCAAGATACTCACTCCTCTACCTCTCCTGCAGCCTCTGTCCATGGGAGGGTCCCCACTGCAGGGGGAAACAGGCCTAGAGAGCTTGAGGGACCTACCTGGCTTCTCACACTGAGGCACAAGCAGTAGTTAGTCCTGACTCTCAACCACCACATTCTTCTCCTGGTCCACATACAGGTCAAGCTGCCAAACTCCAAAGCAGGCTTCCTGCAATCTCCCCCCAAAGACCAGATGGCAGCAGAGACCATCCTAAGTGCAGGAATGGTCCATGAGAACTCATCCCTGCCCAATGAAACTTTGGCATTACAATAACAGCATTAGAAGAAAATAGTAATCCTAAGACCTTACAGCACTTCTTCGAATTTCTTCTTGTTTTGCCCTAATTCCGAGAATTTGGATCCCTGGCTCCTGACACAGGCTGGATCCCAAGAAAGTATCACAGGCAGGCACAGAGAGCCCTTTGCCCTCACTACCCTTCTGAAATGGGCATGGATCGACAGACTCTTGATTATTGATTAAGAAGACAAAAATAACTCTGGACTGGCTGGAACAGCCACCGTGGGGGCTGAAATGACTGAATAAGGCCCTCCCTCCAGGGGGAAGGGCTGATGAGAAGGGGGAAGAACAAAGGAAAAGATGGGGTGGTGTTGAAGAGCATCGCAGAGGCTAGGAAGGGGATAGGAAAGGAGAGAAGCCTGGAGAGCTTCTGGAAACCTAGGCTGGCTGAGGAGGCCAGGAAACTTATGGAAGAGCTGATGAGATGGTCCAGGACAAAGGTGCTTGAGAAGGTGGTGGGTGTGTTCTGGGCTGGCTGTGCAGTCTGAAAGAGGACAAGACCTGCCCATTGCCTCCTGTGCACTCAGCAATAACTCAGCCCTGGACCAAGCCCTCTGTTTATTTTCTCTCACTTCCTCCTGGCACACAGCCCCTTAGAAGTGCTATTTTGTCCCCATATTCCAGATGAATAAACAGAGGCTCAGAATGGTGCTATTACTGGCCCAAAGTCACAGTGTATCTGACCTCACAGCATGCTCATCTGAACCATGAGGACTCTGGTCAAAAGATGGGAAGGAACATTTGCCAGATGGAGGAGTGGAGCCCAGCTGGGATTTTCTCTCCCCATCCTCCAGTCCCACGGTGAGGGGCTGAAGAGAAACCAGCCCATAGGGAGGTAGTGGCAAAGCCAAGGTCTCTTGGGCTAAGTTCCTAACCTAGTCCATGGTCCCTTGAGCTACATTGCAAAGCTTTGAGGAGGGGCCAATTGGTCCCAAGAACCCTGCAAGGGTAGAGGCCTCAGAGTCCTCACCGGGTCCCCAGGGAAGAGGTTCAGGCTCCGGTCACAGCAAAGGCCCAGGTACCCTGGGCTCTGTCTCCTGGCAACAAGTGGTCTCTCCAGAGAAGGCTTCTCCAGCAAAGCCCCTGGTCTCTAGAAGAGCCCCCTGAGGGCAATGAGGCAGAGCAGGCAGAGAGGCCCTGGACCAGTCTTTGTAGGTACTGCTGGATGGTGGTCCCAGAGATATGCTACCTTTCCCTGCCCCCAGGATCACACCTTCCTCCTTTGGGCTCTACACTTTGTCCCTGCAGTTACACACAGGTGCTCCTGAGTGGGTCTCCTCCAACACAGGCCTCTGTGGCTTCTGGCTCCCTTCTGACTAGTTCTCTTCACTGATGCCCAGGATCCAACTCAGGACCTTGGACATGCTAAGCATGTGTTCCACCACTGAGCTACCCCCACAGCCCCTCTTCCCAGTTCTTGCATTCTGATGGTGATAGAAGAAAGAGATGGGGCTGATAAATGATATCAAGCTCAGTTGGGCTGAGAAATGTGCCACTTTGGGCACTAAAGAATGGGGACTTAGGATTAGGATGTAGCTTAGTGGTAGTGTGTTTGCCTAACATGCCCGAGACCCTGGGTTCATCCCAGCCCAGCAAAAAAAAAAAAAAGTAAAAGAAAAAATGAAAGGAAGAAAGAAAGAAAAAAACAGGAACTGGAAGGACAAGAAAAGAGGGAAAGGGTGAAAGTAGGGCCACCAGTGCACAAGAGGAAACTGTTCCAGCACCAGTGCCCTTGGGCAGCTTTTCCCATGCAGCACCCTACTGGGTCCCACCTGCTCAACGCTAAGTCAAACTCCATGCAGTTCCATCACTAGGTGGCGCTGTCCTCCTTGAAGCCCCTGGCCCCTCCCTGTGGATTATGGCAGAATGGGGCCACGGGAAGGAGCTGAGCTGATCTTCAGACAATAACAAAGGCACAACAGTACTGGCTGTGGAAATAGTAAAACACATGGTCCAGATTGATAAATAGCTACTGCCCCTTTCCAGTGCCCCTAAGAGGCTCTGGATACCGTCAGAGAAACACTAATGAGTCAAAGCCCTGAACAGTAAGAATCCTCCAGAACAGCTATTCAGTTGGCATATCAGCCCTAGGCAGGGGCAGATACTTCCCAAGTCCCCAAACAAGCCAGGCTCCTCTGTCCCACAAAGGTTGAACTAATTCCCCAACCGAGGCACAAAGCCTGAACTGGAGTTGAGCCTGCCAAGCTCAGACTGTGCCCTGGGCATGTTTCTTCCCCTTGCTGAGCTGCAGCAAAATAGGTGTAGGGGATGGTTTAGATGGTTCTAGGCATCCTTATTGCCACTTTACTGAACTATGATTCCCTGATATCTATACCTCCTCCCACATCCCTACATACACACAAATCTGATTTTCCTTTTTTATTTCCCCCAGAACTGACCCATGACCTGGAAATGAGAGAAGCCCAATCTCACCAGCAAGGTAAGAGAAGAACCACTGGTGGGGAAGGGTCATGGGACCCAACAGGTCAAGTTCCCTCCAACCCTTGGTAGGACCTATGTCTCTCCATCCCAGCCTGAACATAGGGACAGCAACCTCCTCATATTGGTGACATCCTCACCAAGAGAGCATGTCAGCCCTGCCTGCCCATTCAGAGAGTGACCTTGTACAGTAAAAAACCTGCAATACCATATGAAGCACCCTATATCCATGTCTCTGTCCAAAGTAAGAAAAGGAAAGCAGAAAGGAGATGGCTCTGTGGTTTTAATTCCACGTTTCTGGGACCCAGCTCCCCAGTTCTTCCCATCCTGTATAAGTGATCTACAGTTAATGTCCACACCCCACCAGATGCTGAGTGTCAAAATGTAACACAATGGTAGTATGGAGTCCTTGGCTTCGAGCACTTAGTCTAGATGAAAACAAAAGAGATGCACCCACACACACATTAGCAAATCTTCCACTTCACAAAAGCATAACTTAGTGCTACTGTAGCAATTGCATCAGGACATTTTTTTTCCCCAAAGCATTATTTTACTTATAATATGGGAGTTGGGTGGGGAGATAGTGTTCAATGAGCACAAGAGTTCCAGTTTTGAAAGATGAAAAAGCTCCAGAGAAAACTGAGCACAGTGTTACACACCTGTAATCCCAGACACTAAATTGCCCAGGCTTGGCCTCAAATTTGGGATCCTCTTCTGAGGCAGGAATATCCCAAATGTGAGGCCAGCCTGGGCAACTTAGTGAGATCCTGTCTCAAAATAAATAACTAAAAGGAATAGGAATGTAGCTCCGTGGTAAAGCATTCCTGGAGTCAATCCCTAGTACCACAAAAATTAATTTAATTAATTAATTAATTTTTAAAAATTAAAGTAAAAAGGGCTGGGGATGTAGCTCAGTGGTAGGATGCCCCTGTGATTAATCCCAAGTGTGAGGGGTAAAGAGAGGGCAGAAGAGCCAGATACAGAGGCATACACCTGTAATCTCAGGAGGCTAAGGCAAGAGGACCAAAAGTTGGAGGCCAACCTAGGCAACATAGTGAGACCCTGTCTCAAAATAAAAAATAAAAAGGATTGGAGGGGCTGGGGATGTGGCTCAAGCGATAGCGCGCTCGCCTGGCATGGGTGCGGCCCGGGTTCGATCCTCAGCACCACATACAAACAAAGATGTTGTGTCCGCCAAAAATTAAAAATAAATAAATAAATATTAAAAAAAAAAAGGACTGGAGCCAAGCACAGTGACACATGCCTGTATTTCCAGATGCTCAGGAGGCTGAGGCAGGAGGATTGTGAGTTCAGAGCAATTTAGTGAGGCCCGAAGCAATTTAACGAGACCCTGTCTCTAAATAAAATTTAAAAAAAGGCTGGGGATATGGCTTAGTGGTAAAGTGCCCCAGTACCAAAGAAGAAAAAAAAATTCTAGATAATCTATGGTAGCCAGGTATTTCTCTGTGTAGTCCAAACTACTCAGGAGACTGAGGCAAGAGGATCACTTGAGCCCACCAGTTCAAGGCCAACCTGGGCAACATAGGGAGATCCTGTCATTAAAAAAAGAAAAAAAGGGGCTGGAGCTGGGGCTGGAGCTCAGTGATAGAGCACTTGCCTAGCATGTGTGAGGCACTGGGTTCGATCCTTAGCATAGCATTAAAATAAACAAATAAATAATTAAAAGAAAGTTCTAGAGATCTGTTGCACAATGTGAATATATGTGATACTACTGAACTGTACACTTAAGAATAGTTAAGATGGGGATGGACACAGTGGTGCACACCTGTAATCCCAGCAGTTTGGGAGGCTGAGGCAGGAGGATCTTGAGTTTAAAGCCAGCCTCAGCAATTTAGGGAGGCCCTAAGCAACTCAGTGAGACCCAGTCTCTAAATAAAATTCAAAAAAGGGCCAGGAATGTGACTCAGTAGTTAAGCACCCGTGGGTTCAATCCCTGGTGCAAAAAAAAAAAAAAAGAAATGGTTGAGATGGTAATTTTTATTTTGCTTTAACTATAATTTTTAAAAAATTAAATGTGGGGTTGGGGTTGTAGCTCAGCAGGAGAGGACTCGCCTCACAAGTGCGAGACCCTGGGTTCAATCCTCAGCACCACATAAAAATAAATAAATAAATAAGTGAAATAAAGGTGTTGTGTCCAACTACAACTAAAAAATAAATATTAAAAAAAATTAAATGTGTCAGGAGGAAGATTGCCTTAATCTTAATCACCAGATTATAGGACTTTAATCATCAGATTATAGGATCTCTAAGAACTAGGACTGGGTGTTATCCTTTGTCTGTGAAGTGCAAGACATGTTACCTGGCTTGGAGGGATTCTAAGAACTTAGCTAAAAATAAACCCAAAACTAGTTATTCTTGGCCAGAACAGTTCTTAAGGACAAACTGCCATATTGCTGAGTTGCTTATAGATTAAGAACTACATGACCAAGAATTGAAGACAAGGACAGCTGGAAGTTTAAGCTAAAATGCTAGGAGTCCTGCAAATTGCTTTGTAAATATAAAGATTAGCTGGAATCCCCTAAACATTTCTTCTCATTCTGCTCACTTCCTTAGATGGCAGCCCTGGGCAACCCTTGGTACTTAGGTCCTTAGACACCCCACACACACACACATACAAAAAAAAAAAAAAAAAAACAGATGGACAGATCAGTGACAAGCAGCTTTCACCCTTACTGTCCTTCCTTTGAAAAGATTTTTGGGGTCACGAGCTCAAGTCACTGTACCAATGTCCTGAGGTCTTTTGTTTTTTTCTTCTCTCTCAATGAGCTTGAGAACTCTTTCTTTGTCCTATAACTTGGTGATTTTTATGTCCCAGGGTTCCCTTTTTCTTCTTCCTCCTCCTCCTATCCTCCTCTAGGGATTGAACCCAGGAGAACATTGGGCTCCATCCTCATCCTTACCTTTTTCCTTCTTACTGTTTATTTTTGAAACAGGGTCTCCCTAAGTTGCTGAGGCTCTCCTCCAACTTGCAATCCTCCAGCTTTGCCTCCCTCCTGGGAGTAGCTGGAATTATAGGCCAGCACCACCATACCCAGCCCACTGTTCCCTTTCCTCTTTCTGCTGCCTAGATCTCAACATTGACTCACATGTGCCAAGTCCCAGGATACAGTCTTCCAGGATGGAGTTCATGATCCAGGAGGCTGGGGTCTTCAATTCTAGCTGTTCATGAGATTCACCTGTGAAGACCAAAGCACTATCACTTCCAGGTCCAATCCAAGAGATTGTGATTCAAATAGGCCTTGGTAGGGCCCAGGAAGTGGTTTTTTGTTTTTTTGTTTTGTTGTTTTTTTTTTTAGTTGTCAAAGGGTCTTTATTTATATGCGGTACTGAGAATCTAACCCTGTGCTTCACACATGCTAGACAAGCATTCTACCACTGAGCTAGAACTCCAGCTCAGGAAGTGGTATTTTTTTGTTGTTGTTGTTGTTGTTTATTTATATTTTTGTGTGGTGCTGAGGATCGAACTCAGTGCCTCACATGTTTGAGGCAACTGCTCTGCCACTGAGCCACAACTCCAGCCCAAGAAAGTGGTATTTTTTTAAAAGCTCTCTGAGTGTTCCAATGTTATGTCCAGGGCTGAAACCTGCTGCAGGGGCAAAAGCAAACAATACCCAAGTAAACAAAACCTGAGGATTGAACCCAGGGGTACTCTACTGAGCTACATCCCCAGAGGTATTTATTTATTTGTTTGTTTGTTTTATTGAGACAGGGTCTTGCCAAATTGCCCAAGCTAGTCTGGAACTTGTGATTCTCCTTTAGCCTCTCCAGAAGCTGAAATTATAGGTGCCTGGCTTTAAAAAAAAAAAAAAACATGATAAATCTCTACAAAGGAAACAAGGACACCGATTTCTCCCTTCCTGTGAACACTCCCAACTCTTCCAGCCCCATGCTCTTGCCATGTCTTTCTTCCATGGGGCTTTTGAACAAGATGTTTCCTCTTCTGGAGCACACTTCTCCAGGGGAAGAGGTATTCATCATTCAGATTCTAAGCCAAGCCTCTTCTGCCAGGAAGCCACCTCTGATTAGGTCACATCCTTCTGTTAGAGCATTGATTGATTTGCTTCTTTTTGGAGCATGTCACAGTGTGACCTCATTTATTATTTACTATACCTCTTCCACTGCACTGTAAGTTTCTTGAGACCCATTTTATTATCCAACATATCCTCAATGCCTAATACAGTGCATATAGACAGCTCAACAAATTACTTTTGGAAGGACTAATTGGTCAGGAAGAGTTTCACATTTAAAATGAACCCGGGAAGGGCTAGGGATATAGTTTAGTTGGTTCAATCCCCAGCACACACACACACACACAAAAAAAAAAAAAAAAAAAAGAATCCGGGAAAAATTACAGGAAAGGCCAGGATATGTGCAAGGATCCTGAGAAAGAAAAAGGCAGGCCACTGAGGCTGATTCGTGGGGCGGGAAAGAGCGCACCACAGGCCGCGTAGGTGGGGCGGACTAAAGCTTTGTTACACTGGCCGCTGAGCTGTGGGGGTTCTGCCCCCACGCCGGGCGGGCACCGTCACCGCTCTCTTCTATCTCTTCTTCCCAGAGGAGGCGTCCCGGGAGCTGGAGAGCAAGTGCCGCGCGCTGGAGTCGCAGCTGGCGGCACGGACCGCCGCCAACGCAGAGCTGCGGCGGGAGGTGGCGCAGCGCGAGGTTCTGGTGTCGGCGCTGCGGTGCAGCCTGCGCGCGGAGGAGCGCCGCTTCCTGGAGGAGCTGCGTCGCCGCAGCCACCGCGCCACGGTGCTGGGCACCGAGCTGCAGAAGCACACTGAAGCGGCCGCCTACCTCTCCTGCCAGCTGCACGCCGCGCGCCAGAGACTACAGGCCCCGCGCCCGGGCCCCGGCGCTGCTGCGGAACCCCGGCCCCGCCGGCGCGCTCAAAGGGCCCGCCGCCCGCCCGAGGCCGCCACCAAGGGCCCCAGCCGGGACTGGGCCTCCTGGGACCGCGCGGCTGGACCCCTGGACGACGTCGACCCCATGCCAGACCCCGCGCTCTTCCTCTACGCCCGGAGGCCCCCGCGGCCCGGCGCCCGCGGCCCACGCCTGCCGCCGCCACAGGAGCCACAGGAGCCTCCAGACCAAGGTGGCCAGCAACCCAGGCCTTGCCAGAGCCCGCCCGCCGCATCCAGCGCGCCCGGGGCCCCGGAGTAGGCTTGGGGCTGGCGGGGGAAAGGCCCTCACGGCCCGGCTAGGGACGCAGCCCAGTCCCGCTGGCAGGTCCCGAGGGCCAAGGGCAGTCGCCCCGGCTCCAGGGAGCAGGGGAAGGCGGCCCCAGCTTCCCCACCCCCTCAAACCGCCCCGCCTTTTGTATTTCCCAGCGTTTCTGAAGCTTCGAGCTCTCCCCTCTCGCGAGGGAGTTCCTCTGCGGGGCTGAGCGATTGCACCTTTTTTTGTGGAGAAGGACTCGTACCAATCCAGATCTGGTCCCCACCCTGCCACTGGGAGGGGAAGGGCGGGGGACACGCCCGGGAAAGCTGACAATCTTTGTGGGGAGTGGAAAGGCTGGGTTGGCCTACAGAAGGAAATGCAGAGTGCACTTGGCACCCCTAGACCTTCCAGCTTCCCTGCCCTGCCTCCCCCAGCCCTGCGAAACCTTGCTCCCGAGGAGAGGCCCGGGCTAAGAACCGGCCTCTTCACTCGGAAACCTCCCGTTACCCCTCCCCCATTGATACGTCCTTGCAGGTGAGAGCACCGAACACTTTAGAATTTGCATCCTCCCAGAAACCCTGGTGGGGAAAGTGCTGCCTGATGGAAGTTGAACTTCCGGAGAGCAGCATGCCATAGAACCTTAGAAGAGTTATGGAATGGTGGCAGGAACGGGGCTGGAGCTATTCCAGCTCAGTTCTTCTCGGGTCTGCCAGGCAGGTATGTAGGGATTGGAGCTGTGCTGGGGAAGCGCCCTGGGACAGGGCAAAGACTGCCGCTCCCGTCAGGAGCCTGTTCTGGGAGTTTCCCTAGTCCTGTTATTGGTGCTAACCTTGCCCAGCTTCTAAGCAGCTGGCTGCACCCAAAGGCAGGAAAGAGGACCTGGCTTCTTGGAAGTAGAAGCTATTGATAGAAGTTTGGGTTTACAAGGGGGAATGTCCCCCTCCAGGGATGCCTCTAAGCCTATCTGAGAGTGGTGGGATGCCCTATGACCCTCTGTCTTGGTGGGGAAATGGTAAATGGAAAGCAGGATTCCTCCCCTCTCCCACTCTCCCAGCTACCCAACCCCCACTACCAAAGGCAGGAAATACAGTTTCAGTCCAGCTCATTGCCCCCAGCCCAGCCCAGCCTAGAAACACAAACCCCCAAAGCTCCGTCACCATCCCTCTTGGGTTGGTCCTACATCGAGTCCTAAGTGCCTGTGAGTTCTTCCAGGGGCTGCCAAGGGAGGACGCCTTTCCCTCACTCAGACACTGGTCCCTGGCAGGTTCTGACCCTGGCTTGAAGACACACTTTCTGCATGTCACCCAGGGGTTGGGAGGAGAGCAGAATCAATCTCTATAGGTGAAAAACTCTTCTCCCATTAAGGCCCCCAGGGAGAAGTAGGGAATCCCCAGTCATATCCTCTTTTGTCCTGTTAGAGGGAGGGAGAATTTGGTAAGAAGCAGAACCCAGTGAGTACACTTCAGGCCTGGTCAAACATGCTGCCCCCTCCCAGCTGACCCTATCCAGGATTGATGAATCCACCAAGCAATAACCAGGCCTAGTCTGGGCTGTCCAGCTCCTGGGAGTAAGGCAGCAGAGGTGGCAGTCTGGGAACCTTTCTCTCTCATTGCCTTACCTCTAGCCCCTGTGGCTGTGCCCAGGCACTGCCTCTCCTCAAGAGTGTATGACTCACTGTGCCCCATTCTGCTGCCCTCCCTAGCAGAACCTGTGGGGGAGGGGGCCTGGAGGATTATGGGAAGAGGAAAGTTCTCTTCCAGAGGAACCCACATTGACCTTCATCTCCCACAACCACACCTTTGGGGTGAACAGGGTGACTTTGTTATGTTGATTCTTCTGCAGAGATGGCAAAGTCCTTTATCCACCGCCCACCCATCCACTAAAAGCCATAGCTGTGCCACCTAGCCTCCCTCAAAGCTCTATAGCAATAGCTCTCTTCCTTTTTCTTCCTCAGTACCTGGAGTGTCTGGCTAGGGCACCCACCATACCCAGCCCCAGGAATCCTCAGTGGCCTGCCTGCCTCTCCCCAAGAGACCCTATCAGCACTGTCCAAACCCTGTTCCTCCTCCAGCAACCAGATAATGATACTTAATTGTTTGGGTAGTGCTTAGAGAGTCCCCAGATGAAAGAGAGTGCTGGGGTGGCTGACCTGCAGCTGACGTGTTTGGGGGTGGCTGGGAAAGAAAATAAGGCAACCCTTAGCGAGAAAGAGTAGCAGGAGGCCTAAGCAGACACAGGATTCCAGTTTTAACAGAAATACCCCTTCCCATACTCTCATCTGGAAATAAAGGAATAGAGACTTCCTTCTACCTACCTGCAGCCTCAGGGCCTGATTGGGGCCCTGCCCTCAGCTTTCACTTCCTCCCCTTCCTGGTCCTGGTTTGAGGGACCTACCAGGCCTAGCTCTTGGAATATTTGGGTGACTGAGAAGGGAAAGGAATGTTTTTTGTCTCTCTTTATTACATGCACCCCACTGGTGGAAGGAGGGGAGTGTTGACACGGACACTCAGAGTCCCTAGGCAGGGATCCCACCACATTCCAAGTATAGAAAGTCCCAGAAGGGAGAGCTGCAGGTAGATGGAAGCCCCCTAGTGTTCAGGAAGCTAGCCAGGGCACAGTGGGCAATGTTGTATGAGGCTCTGTACCCATGACCCTGTAACCCTTCCACCATGACCTGCACTTTGTGGGACCAGTTCAGGGCAGCACAGAGCCCTACCTAGTGGATAAGGAGGCCAGAGGGTGTGGAGCAGTATCTCCTCACTTGCAGAGCCCGGGGGACCCCTAAATGCCCTCTCACTGATATGTCAGCCTTGAAAGGAGGACATGCAGGGCAGAGGGATCCTGCTCCAAATTCTCTATTGGCTGCGCTTTTTAACCCAATGCTTTTCAGAGTGTATTCACTCACCCACAGAAATAGAGCCCTGTGCTTTAAGGGGTGACTGTCATATGCCTTATTCTTAATAAAATATTTGAAAAACAAGCAAGTCAGCTCTTTTCCTAGGGCACTGCCTGCTACCCCATCTCTGTTCCTGCAAGTTTGGGGAAAAGAGGTAGAAAGTGGCTTGGGAGTCAGCAGGTAGAGTGAGCAAGCTGAGTCTCAAGGGTTCCCTCAGCAGATATGCCTCAGATAAAGCATAAGGTGTTCTCTGAGATGTGCTGGCCCCAAGCCTATTGCTGCCATGTAACCCATGCCAATGAATAATGAACGAAAGCAGTCTTAGATCAGAGGCTCCTGTCTAGGCTGGGGAGGGATACATTGGTAGGATCCCATGCATGGAATTATCCATTGTTATGCCTAAAAGGAATCATGAGTTTTGGGCATCTTTGGCTGTGAGGGTTCCCTGCCTCTATCTGTGCATTTATTTATTTATTCACTTATTTACTTTTCCCCAGTACTAAGGATTAAACCCAAGGGCAGTCTACCACTGACTTACCTCCCCTGCCCTTTTCATTTTCATTTTATTTTATTTTATTTTTTGGTATTGGGGATTATACCCAGTGGCACTTAACCACTGAGCTGCATCCCCAGTCCTTTTTATTTTGTGACAGGGTCTTGCTAAATTGCTCAGAGCCTAAATTGCTGAGGTTTGCTTTGAACTTGCAATCCTCCTGCCTCAGCCTCCCAAGTAGTGGGGATTACAAGCATGTGCCACAGCTTCCCTGCTCCCATCTGATGCAACTGTAAAAAAAAACCCAACATCACAGAAGTGAGTCCTTTCTTATTCTCTGTTAATGAGAGCTATCTTAAGACTGCAGGCTTAGGAACTCAGCTTACCCAGCACCCACAAGAATTCAAACCAGAACACTTTCAGTCTAGGTCTATGTTGTGGATGAGTCTAGGAGAAAAAAGCAGTAGCTTCACATCCCAAGGATACAAGGGATCCTGATAATAGGACCCATCTTTTCCTTTTGAGGAACAGCATTCTGCCCATCTCCATGTTTTTTGGGGGGATGACCCCCAGCCCCATGCATGTGACCCAGGCAAGGTAGGTCATGTTGTTTGGTTTAAAGATGGGTACATAATTCAATCTGAGCCAATGAGAATCAATAATAGGACTTTTATTAAAGCCACTCATTGAACACTCCATGTTAGGTGCTAAGGTTATAGCAGTGAACAAAATAGGACTGTTGACAAGGACAGCCCGTCGGGTGGCTTAAATGGCAGAAGATCTGTTTGGCGGTCTGGCAGTTCATTTGCTACTATAAGAAATAAGGCTGCCAGAGTATGAAACTATCAGAAAAGAAGCAGAACCAGGAGAGATGGAGAGTCTCCCAGATCCAGTTATGCCTGAAGCTCATACATCCCTGCATCTTTCCTTTATATTAACCAATAAGTCCCCTCCCCCTTCCACACTTTTGCTTTTTTTAAGTGGTCAGCATTGATTTGTGTTTTTTTTTTTCCTGTTTATTATTTTAAGAGGCAGGGTCTTGCTATGTTGCCCAGGTTAGCCCCAAACTCTTAGGCTCAAATAATCCTCTTACCTCAACTTCCTGAGTGGTGAGAACCACAGGTATGGCCAGGTTCTATGTGTGTATGTATGTATGTGTGTTTGTACCAAAGATTGAACCTAATGGCACTATACCACTGAGTTACATTCCCAGTTATTTTTATGTATTTTTAAATTTTGAGACAGGGTCTTGCTAAATTGCTGAGGCTGACCTTGAATTTGCAATCGTCCTGCCTTAACCTCTTGAGTCACTGGGATTACAGGTGTACACCAATACACCTGGCCTTTCTACTTACTATTTTGAATTTAGTTCCTTGTCCCAGCCTCTAGGATTAAGTTTTGGCCCAGGCTGGACTAGGCCAAGGACTTGTAGCAAACCCAGAGAGTATGGCCCGGGGCTCTGCTTGTTCATATCCTTTTATCTCCTGTGGATCCTAGGGGAGGGAACGTTTAGTATTGGGTAAACATTAGCCAAAGACTCTTGCTTCTCATATACAATTTTTTTAAAATATTTTTTTTTTTAGTTGTAGATGGACACAATACCTTTATTTTGTT